TCTGGTTAGGCTAACATCAATAGCAGCCTGTCAGATAGACAGCATGTCCGTGGAAGCATCATTGGAATATTTTCAAGAAAATAATCCATACCTGTTAGAGTACAGAGTTAGAACAATGCCTCTAAATTTGTTAATGTGCATGGAAATCACCTAATGATTAAGAGAAGCCAGGCCTGACATCCTGCTTGTCAAACAAGTCCCCAGACGCTGCTGATGTTGTTGGTCTGTGGACCACTTTTCTGTAGCAATGAGTTAGATTCTTCCTGATGGATGGCAGGAGGTGGAGACCCCCTCTTCCATGCCTGTAACTTTCAGGGCTGTTCTTCTGCTCAGTGGTGACGAGGGAGAGATTTCCAGGGTTCTGGACATTCTCCTTGAAATGGAAATTGAATACTTCATTTGCCCTCCCCAAGGAAGAAAATCCACATGGTTTGAAGTTGCATAATCCAATACACTCACTGTGGAGCTTTGTTCATCTTTATCTTCTCCCAGAGTCCCCATTAGGTAACTGCCAGGGAGTGGAAATGTAAATGTTCACTTGAGATGCATGTACCAGTTAAGAAAGGGAATGGGGTTTGTGTGACAGTGCTAGCCAGGCAGACATGGGGACCTTGATATGGACAAGAATGCCACTGAAGTTGATGAAGGGAGTTTGATTTCGTGAATCATATTTTAGAAGGAATTTCAATGTGTTGCTTTTATTAATGGAACTAACAATGCCCTTTAAGTCTCCAGATAACCACCCTTCCCCTCCAGATCTCTTTGGCCTTCCCCCTTCTTTCCTTGTCATCAGGAGTGTAGTCTGGCAATCAGCAGTGTTGGAAATGTCCGCTGCATGCCCGTGCAGGGAGACTTTGATTGCCTGAGTCATTTAGTCGCTTGTTCTGTGATTATAGTAGAAAGGTCTTCTTTTCCCCCGCTGGGAGGCTGAACCAATATCACATTTAAGGTAACTTTCCAACCCTTTATTGTGTTTCAAAATGTACTAGGAAAAAGAAAAATAAAGCCTTCTAGAAGAAGTAAATTGGCTTTGCAAATCTAGGAAGAAATAGCTAATTTGTTATT